AAATTGTTCAAATGTTTTTAAAGAATCCAATCAACATGATATTTTTAAAAAAAAGTTAGGTAAAAGCGTTAGTAAAAACAAATATTAAGAGCCACAAAAATATAAAAGCAATACCAAAAACACATTCAAAGCTGTAAGGCAGAGCTATCCATTTAAAAAAAAAAGCCATTCAGGAAGTCTGTCATTGAGGGAAAGCTGGCCCCAAAGAGAAAGGTCTTTGGCTATTTGTGGGAGGAGAGCCAAGACAGGGCCAAGCTGGCCTTCAGTGGCAGGGAGTTCTACCGTCTCGGAGCAGCCACAGAGAAGGCCCTGTCCTGTATCCCCACCAAACACACCTGTGAAGGTGATGGGACCGAGAGAAAGCCCACTTCGAAAACCGACAAGCCTAGATGATCCATGGAGAAACAATATTTGCTACACCTCCATAAAAAAAATGGAGATCGCTTTTTTCGCCCATAAAACAAAAACCAATCAAAAGCAAGGAAGGCCCTAATCTTTGGCTAGGTCTTAGTGGGGTCAAAATTTGGGATCTCCCTGTTTCTCCTTCCCTGCCCTTTTGACTAGGTCTTACTGGGGCCAAAATTTGGGATCTCCCTGTTTCTCCTTCCCTGCCCTGCTCTAATTTTTAAATACCACCTCATCCAAGGAAGGCCTCCGGAAGACTCCAGGGCTGGCTCACATTTGATGGCATTTGAATTGGTCCCAACAGAGCCATCGGAAGCCTATGGATATTTTTGTTTTATTCTGCTATCAGTGATTTGAAGCTCTACCCAGAGGAGAAATAGGATTTTATTGGCTGAAATCCGGTTGCTTAAGACAGTACAACAGGACCCCTTTATCCATGAGAAAAGTGCCTGCTGATTCACTGATCCATGGTCTCAAAATTTTAAAAATGTTAAAAGAAAAATCCCCAAAATACCGTATATTTTTCTAACCATGAAGTTACCATAACTGGCCACTCGAGGGAGCCAGAGACCATGATACGTATGTATAGTATAATGCCTATTATTATAATAGCATTTCTATTATCCACATTTTCAGCATCCACAGGGAGGCTCGGAACTGAGTCCAATTTGGTAAATTTGTAAATTTGGTGAGTCTACTCCTCTGTAGGTTCCATTAATCCTAACGGGCCTCCTCTAGTTGCAGGTTAGTACACTAAGCAACAGGATTCCAACTAATGCATATTAACAGGGAGTAAATTCATTACCAGGAAATCAGTGCTATCTAACTCAGAAAAAAAGTTTTCTATTTCTTCATCAACTGCTGATTACCCCCAAAATTCAGCTAGGAGCCCCTCACTTAATCCGTGACGGATGCCCCACGCCTGGCATGCCTTGCAAATGTTTCACGGCTAGTCCTGATGTCCTGCGGAGCATGAATGGAATTTATCGGGAGCACAGTTAATTCCCACAATCTTAAATATTCAGAGGGACAAGACACAGCCCTTCAGAAGTACGTACCGTAGTGAAGGAACTCTTGGGAGAGGCTTAAGGCTTGAGAAATGTTTCCTGCCTTTAAGAAATGCAGGCCAGGGGGAGAGAGAGAGAGAGAGAGAACAGAAGAAAAACAAGACAGAAATGAGTGTTTCCATTTTTGGAAAGAAGCAGAAGCAAAGAGGCAAAGGGTCTCAGATTTACTCCCCTCCCGACACATTTCTCGAAATCTCGGCCAGCATGCGACGGGGCGTATTCTTTCCTTGAAAGCATCTTTCTCGGCTTTTATGACTGGTTTAACATCTTCAGTGGCTCAAATGTAAGCCCTTGGTACATTTCTCCATTCCAGCTGCACACAGACTCAGAAATCACGGAGGCCTTTCCCCATAGAACACTTGTTCTACCTGGTTCACCCCTGCTTTCAGTATTTTCCCCATCATCCACTGACAATAGGAACAAATTCATGCTTCTGCAAGCTTTTTTGTCCCTCCTGAAAGCATCATTTTTCTGTTGTTGTTGTTGTTGTTGTTGTTATTTTATTATTATTATTATTATTATTATTATTATTATGCTCCCAAGGTTTACTTTGGGGCAGAGTTTCTCACGGTGCTGCTATCTACGCTTCCTGTACAGCTTGTGGTGGGGTCAGAATAGGAGCTTTTAATTAGCACTTCATTGCATTTAAAAACCATAAATTCCAGAAAATAAACTATGGTTTTCAAACAACGATTTCAAAGATCTGCCCCCCCAAAAAGAAACGTTTTTGGGACATGGATGTTGGAACTCCTGTGTGGGACACGAATCCTGGCTGAGCCCCATCATTACCCCCAGCCAATTAAAAAACAAACTAACATTGGCAAGACAATCTCATGTGTGTGTCCATTACAGTGCATCGTCCTGCCATTCTGTGGCTTAGGGTGGTCAGTTGTCTAGAATCAGCCCATTGAATCCCAGCCGTGACCAAACAGGGTGGGAGGTTTGCCCCATCGGGAAGACCTCTGAGGTAGCTAGCACCTGACTTACCTTGAAATAGGAAAACGCCAGGTGGTCGAGAGCATCCTCCAGACTTCCCTCGTCCTCTGTGTTCCAGTTCCCGTAGGAGACGCGGAAAAGGGTGACAGCTTCCTCCAACCACGGAATGGAGTGGTAGTAATCCTCCATGTCATAGGCAACCTGAAAGAAACTGGGAGAAATGAGATTGCTGGAGGTGGGTGGGTTGAGGATTAAACTGGCAGCAGAAACGGAAGAAAAAGCCCCTGCTTTTTGCAACCTTGTATGTAGCCTTTAGTAGGATTGGCTGGGCGGGGCCTTTCGGGACTGGGAAGACTGTCCATCTATCCAGCACTAACCAATCATTTCTTCCCTGCTTCTGAATTCAAAGAGAGCCCCGCCTCTCTGTCTTCTCCCCTCTAGAGTTTGTTGAAGGCTGTGGTTGAAGGTCGTCATGTTTGTCAGTTTGCTGTTGGATCTGTTCACAACGGTAAGTAAAGAACGGGATTCTTACTCTTTCTCTAATCAATGTCTCAGAGTGAATGGTGGAGACTGGAGGTGCCAGCTGATGAGAAAAAAGGAGTGGTCTATTTTGGCAAACTTGAAGCTATTCTGCTCTGTGAATTCTTGCACTTCTCCTCTTGCACAGCAAGAGAAATTCAACCAGAAATCCAGCGCTCTGCAACAATTTGAGGATGGATGAGCACACCTAGCTATCCAGTTGAACTAGTATTGATTGCCATGCCACTCCAAGCAATCTCTACTCCAAAGTTTGGGAAAGTTTTTTTTTATTTACTCCTCTTACGGTTCTTCATCCATCAGGGCTGGTTCTCCAGAGTCTTAGTCAAGTTAGTCAACTGGTTCTCCAGAGTCCTAGTCAAGTTACCTGGGGGAATTTGGGGAGTTGCAACCAAAACAATTCCTCCTTGGACCTTTTCTCCTAGGTCCAGGGAGAGAAGCTAATGAACAGTCCTCAAGGGATGTCCCACATAGAGTGCATGGCAGTGGTCAAGACGGGGCAACTAAGGCACGGGGGGCAGTCTTGTCCTTTTTGAGGAGAAAGGCAGGTTGGCAATATTTTGAATGAGTGAATGCATGCATGAATAATGCATGCATGCCTGCATGCATGAATGAATGACTGTCTTGTGGAATTCAGCATTCTCGCTCACCTTGCCAATGTGGAAGCAGTCATCAGCGGACAATGAGAAGTCATGCCCGGGGCTGTATACGTCTGGAAGATGGGCATTGGTACTCCTCCGGAACCTTCCTTTGGCCAACTCCTTGACACTCAGAGCGTAGACATCCTCCAACCGCATCACCGCCCTCGCTGCTCCTTCCAGATCCTCATAGGCAGGCAGGTCTTCCTCTAATCTCTGGTAGGCAACCTTTAGTGCTGAAAAGGAGCCATTAAAGGTGGGCGCTGGTTACAGTGAACGCTTATAGCTTCACCCTTCAGGAGGTCCTTTGACCCAGAGGCGTCCAGCTAGTCTGGGGAATCTTGACCTCTCCCTGCAATTCATCGCTTCCCCTTCCGGCCGTTTATTAACTATGGGCATAAACGAGCCGTGCCGTTATCATGGAGGGGTATTCATTGCTTTTTAAAAACTGTGCAAATATTGCTTTTAGACCCGTCCAGGTAGTCTGGGAAATCTTGACCTCTCCCTGCAATTCCTTGCTTCCCCTTCTGGCTCTTTATTAACTATGGGCATAAACGAGCCGTGCCGTTATCATGGAGGGGTATTCATTGCTTTTTAAAAACTGTGCAAATATTGCTTTTAGACCTGAGACAAATGCTGATGGCGCACAGCTCTGATTGGCTAGAACCTGTGACATCCTGAAACCACCACCTTCCTTCACCAACAGCTTTTTTTAAAAAACGGATGTTCTTTTAAAATACATAAATACACAAGGAACTGGCAAGTCATGGCTAATGAAATGAACATACATGCAGCACTGCAAACGATGAGAGGAGAAAGGGGCGGTTAAACCAGCTGATGTGTGCCCCCCCATCCCTGGAGGTTTTCAAGAAAAGACTGGATAGCCCTCTGTCCTGGATGGAATGAGGCTTCCTGCCTTGGGCAGGGGGTTGGACTAGAAGACCTCTAAGGTCCCGTCCAACCCTACCATGATTCTATGATAAGTCTGCCACTTGCCCTGTCTAGGGTAAGGATGCTCTGAGTCCTGAGTCTGAGCCTTCGTTGTCCCTGCCCCAAATCTTGAGTCGGGGGTCAGGAGTCGATGGTCCTGGCCCCCGGTGGGGAGCACACATGCGCAGACAGTGGGCCTGGAAGGGATGTTGGAGAGACGCATGCACATGTGCGGACTCAGTGGGCTGACTTCTCTTCCTGGATCTGGCCCCTTCCTCTGTGCATGTGCTGGCCTATCCGCTGAGCAGCGGGAGCATTTGGGGATGGGGGGGAGGCAGCATCTCCAAAAAGCGAAAGCCAAGTCAAGTCCAAGTCGAGTTGCTTAAGTTGGACTTAAGTTGGACTCTGTCTGCCACCTGCCCTGTCTAGGGTAGGGATGCTCTGAGTCCTGAGTCCAAGCCTTTGTTGTCCCCATCACAAATCTCAAGTCAGGAGTCTTGAGTCAATGGTCCTAGCCTCTGGTGGGGGGCACACATGCGCAATACAAGTGGGCCTGGAAGGGATGTTGGACAGACGCATGCACATGTGCAGACTCAGTGGGCTGACTTCTCTTCCTGGAGCTGGCCCCTTCCTCTGTGCATGCACTGTCCTATCAGCTGAGCAGCAGGAGCATTTGGGAATGGGGGGGAGGCAGCATCTCCAAAAAAAGAAACCCAAGTCAAGTCCGAGTCAAGTTGCTTAAGTTGGACTTAAGTTGGACTCGACAGTGAGTGGTAACTCTCAAGTTTCCATCCCTAATCTGGAGGGAATCCACGCATAAAGAAATGGGTCACATTCTTTTGAAAAGGTACGTTTGAATTCAAGCTGATTGCATATCTAATGGGAGATTATTGATGTACTGCAATAGATTTCCCCCATTTGGCATCTCCCTTCACTATGCATGTATATCTGCCTCTTGAGAATTAATCCATGCATCTTCAGAAATGGGTTGTAACCTACACAAGTTGATGCTAAATAAAACTCCTTGGGCTAGCCTCTTCATCGGCATGATTGCAGGAGGGAGATTGTGCACGTGTGTTTCCCCTGTCTGTCCCTCTCTCCTTGCCCTGACTGGTCACCCTCTAGTTGGAAAATTGGGTGCACCAGCAATGGTGTGGCTGGCAGTGCAATGAACAGACCACCAGGCCAGAAAAACACACAATGAGATCACCCTAGAGTGTGCTGATTCTCTTATCAAGATGGTCACATTCGCCTTCAAGGTGTCACAGGACTTGGTGCTGGTTTCGCTGCTTTTTCCACACCGTGTCCTGAACTCACAAAGGGAAGACTCTTGGTGGATACTAGTTCAGAAGTTGCTGCTTGAATTCCTGGTCATACGCCAAGTCTGTGTAACTGGCCCATGGCAGCGAATACAAACAGCAACTCTGCTTAACGAGGGGCAGCTTGCCAGCGTGATCTGTGCCGTGGCGCTTAACGTTGGTGTACACGAAGAATAGGATTTTGGCCATTTGCACCCACTCAGCGTAAGGCGCCAGCCATACAGTTTGTTGGCGAAAATACCTCGGAGGTTGTTGTTAGCCTCCGTGCTGTATACCACATTCAGCCAGTCCGACTGCAACCTCTTGATCAGGGTGTAAGCGGACAGAGGGTTAACCACCGAGGTGCCCAATTCTTGGTGCAAAGTCTGGATTTTTGTGAAGAATCTGGAAAACCAAAGAGATGGGGAGGAAGGAGGGAAAGAAGGAAGAGATATTTTACTAGCAACACAAGCTCGTTTCCATGTTCAGCATGTTCTATAAATTAATTGTTGTTGTTGTTTAGTCGTTAAGTCATGTCTGCCTCTTCGTGACCCCATGGACCAGAGCACGCCAGGCCCCCCTGTCTTCCACTGCCTCCCGGAATTGGGTCAGATTCATGTTGGTCCCTTCGATGACCCTGTCCATCCATCTCGTCCTCTGTTGTCCCCTTCTTCTCCTCTTGCCTTCACACTTTCCCAACATCAGGGGCTTTTCCAGGGAGTCTTCTCTTCTCATGAGATGGCCAAAGGATTGGAGCCTCAGCTTCAGGATCCATCCTTCCAGTGAGCACTCAGGGTTGATTTTCTTCAGAACAGATAGGTTTGTTCTCTTTGCAGTCCAGGGGACTTTCAAGATCCTCCTCCAGCACCACACAAATTAATCATACACTGTCCGTTTGTGTCTGAACTGCTCCTCCTTCAGCTTCAGCAGATGACCCCCACCTGACTTTTGGCATCATCATAAGAGAGGAAAGAACATCTCGCCCATCCCAGTTATTCTATAAATCTCTAGGCTCAACTCTGTGAGTCATTGCTGTTTTCTGAATTACTGAAACTCCCTAGAAAAGCTTTCTGGGAAAGACTTTAGTTGCCTCCAAAGCTGACTCAGGATACTTTGCCGTCTGAGGCAGGGTTTGAAATAGCATTCCTCGTTCCGCGTGGTTTGCAGAGAACTGAAGGCTGAGTAAGTGATTTCGACATCTGAAGCAGAAGGAATGATCACCATCGAGTCTCTACAATCCCAGCTCGGCAGTAAAACCTACTCCTAATAAATTAAATAAATACACTTCTCTGTACTTTCTTAAACCCTAAATGTACACTACTCGTAGCCCCTCGTCTCTCTAATGCGAAGGCTCATCATGGACCCCTCCCGTATTCATTTATTTATTTTATTAGACTTATATACATTACCGCCCATCTAGAAGACATCTACTCTGGGCGGTTTACACACACACAAAAACTATGAAAATATAAATGTACATACTAAAAAGGTAAAGGTTCCCCTTGACAATTTTTGTCCAGTCGTGTCTGACTCTAGGGGGCGGTGCTCATCCCCGTTTCCAAGCCATAGAGCCAGCGTTTGTCCAAAGACAATCTTCCGTGGTCATATGGCCAGTGCGACTTAGAGACGGAACGCTGTTACCTTCCCACCGAGGTGGTCCCTATTTATCTTCTCGCATTTGCATGCTTTCGAACTGCTAGGTTGGTGGGACCTGGGACAAGCGGCGGGCGCTCACTCCGTCATTACCGCCCATCTAGAAGACATCTACTCTGGGCGGTTTACACACAAAAAACCCCTATGAAAATATAAATGTACATACTAAAACTACGACCCAAATTAACAGCCGGATCCAAGATGGAAAAGAGAAAAAAGAAAAATAGACTAATTGACGGCTGACGGGAAGGCTTGCCTGTATAGCCATGTCTTCTGGCTGACGGGAAGGCTTGCCTGTACAGCCATGTCTTCAGATTGGTCTTCAAGGTCTAATATTTTATACAAGATATAGTTAATAACATTTTTTTGGTTTGTCTTCTAACGCATAAATGTATCAAGCCCTGCCAGTATTTCCTTGGCGTCTAGCACAAAAGGATAACCAGATTTTGGACAAAGAAACCTGATGTTGCTTTGCATTTGACATTTAGAAAATTTAACACCACCCTGGCATTTGTTATGTTTATTCTGTCTTCCCAATTTCTGTTCGCGCCAGAGTGAACTACAGTGAGCTACAGACGGTGGAACTCCCTCCCACTGGAGGCCAGGCTGCCCCGCCTTGGCTCTCCTTCCACAAGCTGGCAAACCTCTTCAGGCGAGATTTCCTTGAGTGACAGGCTGCCTGAGTGGGATTTTTAAATGGGTTATTATGCCTTGTTGCTTCTCAGTTTGTTTTCAGGATTGATTTTCTTTACCCTTTTAATTTGGTAATTGTTTTCTTCTTTTAAAACCCTCGGATCCTTCGTTTTTAAGCGTTTAAATATTGTATTTTACAGACATAAGGCACCTTGGGACCTTTTAAAAGAAAAAGGTGGGATGAAAATATTTTAAATAAATAAATAAGTCAAGTCAGCTTTATGGGTGATAATTCTAGCCCATGCTTGTCATTTCAGATGGTCCACTTGTGTCTGTCCACGCGCAGCTGGGTAGCTGTTATTTGGAGGCCCCGCATTTTGTTTTTGTTTTTTCCTTCCAAAAGGTTTTTCTGGTTCACATTACAGAGGAGGCCGGTACTAAATTCACCCAGAAAATGACAGGCGCTGGTTTGCCAAAGTTCTGTTTCACATTGTCACGATCCTTTGCCAACGTCACCATCCAAAAACGCAAGTTTTTCACGAAAAGAGTTGTTTTTCCACAACCCTCGATCCCATGACAAACAGCACATGGCCAGGCGATTAAAGAATACAATGATCGTTGGCCCTGGACTGAAATTCTGGCTTAAGGTGACTGTTTTCAGGGTTTTCCAGGTAGAGAAGACTCAGAAGTGCTTTACCCTTCCCTTCCACTAAGGGGGGGGGCTCACACTGTGCCGCTGGCCCAAGGCCACCCAGGCTGGCTCTGCTCACAAGAGGCACAGTGCGGGAATCCAACTCCCATCCTCTGCCACTGAGCTATCCGTATGTATTTCCTTTTGCTCTTTTTTCAGGTGGAGAATACTCAGAAATGGTTTCCCATTCCCTTCCTCTGGGGGGGGGGTGCCCTGGGGTCACCATGCATCTTACCCAAGGCTACCCAGGCTGGCTCTTCTCACAAGAGGCACAGTATGGGAATCCAACTCCCATCCTCTGCCACTGAGCTATCCATATGTATTTCCTTTTGCTCTTTTTCCAGGTGGAGAATACTCAGAAATGGTTTCCCATTCCCTTCCTCTGGGGCGTGCCCTGGGACCACCATGCAGCTTAACCAAGGCTACCCAGGCTGGCTCTTCTCCCAGGGAGGCACAGTGGGGGAATCGAACTCCCAACCCTCTGGCACCCTTTTTCAGTGCCGTCCTTTCTCACTATCGGATCGCCTCCTTACCTTTCTCCTGTGTGGCTCTGTGGATTCTACATTTTGCTGCTGTACAAGCTGCTATTCATCTCACCTCCCAATAATTATACTAACCATACGCCACCAAGTCAATTTGGTCAAAACCAACAGAAGTGAAGGCCTTCAAGTCCAATCGAGAACTCAAAACCTTTTCAGTGCTTTCCAAGTGGAAAATACTCAGAAGTGGTTTCCCATTTCCTTCTTCTGGGGTCAGTTCTGGGACTAACGTGCAGCTGGCCCAAGGCCACCCAGGCTGGCTCTTCTCTCTGGAGAGGCGCAGTGGGGAGACTCGAACTCCCAACTTCTGGTTCTTAGCTAAACGACGGAGCTATCCAGCCAGATTTGAAAGAGCAAGGGCGATTCTAAATGAAGCATCTTTACGGCTGGCCCTAAGAGGAAGCAGGGCTGGTGGCTGTGTCTGGTAGAGGAACAGGGGCACCGGTTGGACTCAGAGTCCTATATAGTAAATCAAATAAGAATCCAGAGATCCATATAGCCAGCAATGAACAAAGGGTGAGAGAAGACCCTCTTGACTGGTTAGACAAGCAGGAAAGTCTGACCTGGAAGCATCTATAGGGATCAGCCATGGTGTCCTTTGATTAATTCCTTGTTCTGCCTCTTGTTTCTTTGATGAAATACCTGTTGGTTGTAATTATACAGGCGCTTAACCAGCCATTTGGTAGGTTACTCCTTTACGAACCCTCTACAAGCTCAGCTTTCGGCACTCATTTATTTTATGCAGAATATTTTTTACCCCACCTTTCCCCTTTAAAAAGGACCCAAGGTGGCTTACGTAGTCAAAAACACAATATTAAAAGCTTAAAAAAACAGGAAATGATTCAAATCTTTTAAAAGACCTTGACAACATGATATTTAAAATGTGAGCTAAAAGCATTACTAAAAACAGATTCAGAAGCAACACAATACAAACCCTCCCATATTAAACCCTTTGCTAGACAGTCAGTCACCAAGGGAAAGCTTGCTGGAAGAGAAAGGTCTTCCTGCCTGCTTGTGGAAGGACAGCAAAGATGGGCTTGGACAAGTTACTTTTTTTAAAATTATAGCTGCCAGCATCCTCCGGTTAAGGTGGCCATGGCCTAAAAAGGTAATTTTTCCATGCTGTGAGTTTGGACACAGAGAATAATTTAGGAGTTCCTTAAATCCGACTTTTCTTGATGGGGTGTCCGCTAAATAATGGATTACAGCTCCCATCAGTCCCATGCAACATTCTTTTTTTAAAATCCCCTATTTGAAATGCCAGGGCAGCACTACATAAAATGCATGATGTGGCCTTACTCTGTACGAAAGCATTCATCTGTACCACACATCTATAAAAGATTATGTCTTTGTCTGCCTCAAAGAACATGGGACCCAAATACTGTATCTAAAAAGTAGCATGCATACTAATGGAAAGCTATGAGTGCTGTCCATAGAGATGGTTTGGTGAATACCTGTTTGATTCCTGCATTTCCTTTTTCAATCACTAGGTGGCTGGAGATGGTTTGGCATCTAAGGAGTATTGGTTTGTTAGTTGAATACCTGTTTGATTCTTGCATTTCCTTTTTCAATCACTAGGTGGCTACCTTTCCTAATCACTGCATAGGAGTGCAGTGGACACAATACTCTGAACCAATCTGAAGAAAACAGAAGATAGAGTTTCCCTCACTTTTGTAGTGGCAGATTGCTCCATGGTGAAGGAGTAGGCAGATCCCCTTGTTCAATAGCTACAGGTGTACATCATGGCAACATCCACGACATCTTGTAGATGCCAGTGATTGTGGCTTCACTCAAGGTCACTGCAATGTGTCTAGTTCATACAAATTTGTAAGTTTGCTTGGATGTCCTCTGCCTCCCATCTAAGCCTTTCCTGTCCTCTCTGGGCTTAGCTACAATCCTCACAGTAGCTGGGGGCGGTGGTGGTATGTATGTTTTCAGCAACATCACATTGGCCTGAATCCAATTGCTAGTTCCAGTTAGGGGAGACTCAGTTGCTAGACGGTGATTCAACACATATGTAAATCAGACCATTATTCAGACTTTTCTGTGACATGTAGACACAGACATTTCCTGTCCTCTCTGGGCTTAGCTACAATCCTCACAGTAGCTGGGGGCGGTGGTGGTATGTATGTTTTCAGCAACATCACATTGGCCTGAATCCAATTGCTAGTTCCAGTTAGGGGAGACTCAGTTGCTAGACGGTGATTCAACACATATGTAAATCAGACCATTATTCAGACTTTTCTGTGACATGTAGACACAGACATACACTTATTTCCACTGACTCAGTTGCTAGACGGTGAGTCAACACATATGTAAATCAGAGTCAGACCATTATTTAAACTTTTCTGTGACATGTAGACACAGACATACACTTATTTATTCATCTATTTATTTAAAAATGTATCCCGCCCTGCCTAGCGTCTGGGACACTATTCTGGGCAAAGAACATATCATAGCAACATAATATAAACAGATAATAAAAAAGCAATAATGATCTAAAAAAAACACCACTCAAAAGAGATCAAAGCAGTAAACAAAACAACTAGTACCAAAAAAGGAAAAGAAAAAAATCTATCTATCTATCTATCTATCTATCTATCTATCTATCTATCTATCTATCTATCTATCTATCTATCTATCTATCTATCACAAATGTTAATAGGAGGCAGCAAAATTGAGACAACAGTTCGAAGTCGACAAATGTGGGTGATCCTAAACGAAATCAATCAAGAGTTAGGCTGGGAAGGCCTGCGTAAACTGTAGAGATGAGCAAGAACCACAGGTTCGTTTACCATCCAAACAGGTGTCAGGTGGTTCCCAGCCCGGCTTCCCCCAGCGGGTGCCCAATCAGAGACAGCGCCTCAGCTTCCCTGCCCCGCCTCCTCTGGGCACAGCCTCTGAGTGGGCGCCCACCAGAGGAGGTGGGGCTGGGAACTCCTGAACACCTATTTGGCCGATCAACGAACTGACACGAACCACTAAATGCCCATCTCTAGTAAACGGCCAAGTTTTAAATTGTTTCCTGAAGCCAAGGAAGGAAGGGGGTCAAATCACACCTCTATCCGGAGATTTCTATAATGATGGAGCCACCACGGAGAAGTCCTGGTTTTTAATAGTTGATTTCTGGGCCTTCCTTGGGGTGGCCACGTGTAACATCCCAGTATATGAGATGCCGCTGGGATGGGTAGATGTTTCGAGAGAGAATCACTTGGACAAGTAGCAAGGTCCGGCTGAGAAACAGAGCAACAAAACAGTCTGGATTTTTGACTCTCCTAGCAGTAGCGGAACAATAGGGTGAAAGAAAGGGTTGGAAGCAGTAGGAAATGAGGACATCCCAATGTGAGATGGATTGACGCAGTCAAAGAAGCCAGGTCCTTTAGTCCGCAAGGCCTGAGCAGGGCTGCTAATGATAAAGTTTAGGAGTCCACTAATTCATGGTGTCAACATAAATCGAAAGCAACTTGACAATGTGTAGTAGCAAGCAGGGGGCACTCCCGCAAAGGGTACCTGTACCTTGAAATGTGCAACAGTGTTGTGGTCCAGGTAATACGTAAAACAGTTTATGAAGAACAGGAAGTCTCTACCATCTGAAACTCACCAGAAGGGGGAAAAGGCACCTCACCAAGATAGCTAGATAGCTAGACAGACAGACAGACAGAAGATAGATCTTTTAAAAAATCCACAATAGGGGTTCCCAGCACTGAACTTTTGCATTGTGCAGTCACCGTGTTTTAATCGGAATGCATCTGGGCCCAATTTGATGCAAATAATGAAATCAACAGCCAGGGTAGTTGCCCCCTCACGTGGATTACTCACAATAGGGTTTCCCAGCATTGAGCTTTTGCATTGTGTAGTCACCGTGTTTTAATCGGAATGCATCTGTGCCCGATTTGATGCAAATAATGAAATAAACAGCCAGGGTAGTTGCCCCCTCACGTGGATTACTTGCTTCTGGCCTTTCCCATTTGAATAGGAGAGGCATTGTCCTTTTTAAAATTCCCCCCTCACATCGATTACTTGTTTCTGGCCTTTCCCAGAGGCATTGTCCTTTTTAAAATTGCAAAAAAGAAAAAGAAAATGAAAAAAAAAGTTGTGCTGAATTTTGCATCTGTCCACGCTCCATTTTATGCAAACTTATGTCCTCTGGTGTCGTCCTCCCGGGTGGCACGCAAGTGGTCCCCCTACCCACTGCCACTCCGAGCGCCGCTCCCCGGGCCAGCCTTACCTCCTGAGGTCACCGAGCCGTCTGGTCTCCTCTTCCAGGTAGGTGTGCAAGCCCTGAAGGAGCTCCCTCTCCGTGGCCAGCGCCTGGTGGATGCTCAGCATGGAGGTGTACGTTTCTGTGCGCCCCCATCTCAAGGCACTGAGGAGGAGAGCTGCCCGGAGACACTGCATTGCCTCCCTTGCTCAGGAAGAAAGCTCTCCTCTCTTCGTAACACCCTCCTCTCTTCTCCTGCTGCTCCCAGTCCCTCCCAGAGCCGAGCAGCCAAGAAGCGGCTTGTCAGCCAGCAGCCCCATCCAGTCTGTGCTCACCCGCCCGCCTGCTCCTTCTCTGGAATCTCGCCCTCGGCTGGGGAAGCCAGCCATCCGAGGAGGGGAACCTCTGGCAGCCGAAGGAGAATTGCGTTGAATGGAAAACAGATGGGAAGAGGTAATAAAAAGGATGCTGGATGTGGCCAGGTGGCAGCTGCTCTGAGATCGGCACCCTTCGGTCACTGCAAAGCTATGTGCAAGCGGGCCGGCTCTTTTCTGTCCCAGCAGAGGAAATTCTGGTTTATAAATGGGTCGGTGGGTGGGAGGAGAATACAGGCTGGGCTTCAGTATAATTTATTATTTGACTTGATTTATTTGATTTGCATGCCGCCCATCTGGTGACCAAGGCCACGCTGGGCGGTTCGCAGCAGCGATAAAAACAATACTCAGCAACATGAAATGAACACAAAATGCACAGTATGATGATATCAAAAAAGAAAGCCGGATTTCAGTTGAATACAGTGGTGCCTCGCTAGACAATGATAATCCATTCCAATGAAATCACTGTTTAGCGAAATGGAATGCATTGAAACCTGTTTAATGCGTTCCAATGGGGAAGAATCGTCGTTGTCTAGCAAAGATTGGCCGTAGGAAAGCTGCTTTGTGAACTGCCGATCAGCTGTTTAAATCGCTGTCTTGCGAAGCTTAGATCCCGAAAACACCTGTTTGCGAGCGCAGAGGGAGCTGTCAAAATCGTCGTCTAGCGAAAATCGGTTTGCGAAGCAGGGACCAAACATTGTCCAGCGAAATTCCCCCATAGGAATCACTGTTTTGCGAATCACTATAGCAATTGCAAAAAGCCAATGTCTAGCGAAAAAACTGTCATGCGGGGTAACTGTCTAACGAGGCACCACTGTATCAGGAAAAAACGTCTTAACTGTTGGAGCAGTACGACAATGGAAGCCCATGACTTAAGGAGCTGGTGAGTGCTCCGACACTGGAGGCTTTCTGGAGAAATTTAGACAACTACCTGGCAGACAGGAGCTGGTGAATGCTCTGACACTGGAGGCTTTCGGGAGAAATTTAGGCAACCACCTGGCAGATCTGCTTTGATTTGGATCCCTGTCCTGAGCAGGAGGGGGTTGGACTAGATGGCCTTCGGAGGCCCCTTCCAACTTCACTATTCTATGATTCTATGAAAAAAAATATAGTAAACATTATAGCTTAAGGACATTATAAACTTAAAAATACAAGGTAACAGTTACATTTAATACAATGACATTAGGCAAGACTCTTTGGGGAGCCAGTGGGCTCTCTTCCCCAAACCTGCCATCCGTGGGGTGGGTGGAATGTCATCTCCCCTCATCCCCAACACGAAGGAATGTTGAGCCTGATCCATCCAGACCCTACGGGTTCAGTGTCTAGACAGTTCAGAGGCATCAAGTAAAAGTCACTTTTTCAGAATTGCCTCCCCCAGAATTTACTGGCCTAACACAGCTAGTAAGTGATTCTATGAACTGTCATCCCAAACAGCAAAGGTTTCCTTGCTCTGGTCACCACGCACCAGCCCCCTGATCAGACATGTGCCATGGGACCGTCCACCTCCACACCCATCCTCCATTCCCCTGGGTCTTGTGGATCTGCACATCAGTGAAGGGGAAACTCTCATCGTGGGGCTTTCTCCAGGATGCACAAACACCTTTAAAGGTACCCAACCCAGAAAGAAGGGCCAACAATCTCCAAGTGGAGACGATCTTTTGTAAAGGGAATTGCACCTACTCAACATTCCCTCTAATTTTCTGCAAGAGGGTGAGTAATCGGGCAGAGAAGCAAACGACAGTGGGAGACCGGAAGGACAAAAGGGATTAGCAGGCAGGCAAGCAGGTGCTGGCTTCTATTTAAAAAAATCCTGCAATCTGGTATAGCGCTATATCAGACAGCAGGATTTTTTTTTAAAAAGCAAAGTTCATGTAGGCAGAAAAGATTCCAATGAATTGATTCCCTGATGATTGTTGTGGGGTTTTCGGGCTGCCCCAAAGCACAGACAGAGTTCCGACTCCTGTCGCAAAGTTCACGTAGGCGGAAAAGATTCCAGTGAATTGATTCCCTGATGACTGTTGTGGGTTTTTCAGGCTGCCGCAGAGCACAGACAGAGTTCTGACTCCTGTCCTCGGAAGGTGCCAACCACAGAGATTGGCGAAATGTTAGGAAGAACAACCTTCAGAACACGGCCAAAGAGCCTGAAAAACTCACAACCACCATCAGATTCCGGCCATGATAGCCTTCAAAAATACATTGATTCCCTGTTTGCCCCCAGTTGTGGGTTTTTCAGGCTGCCGCAGAGCACAGACAGAGTTCTGACTCCTGTCCTCGGAAGGTGCCAACCACAGAGATTGGCGAAATGTTAGGAAGAACAACCTTCAGAACACGGCCAAAGAGCCTGAAAAACTCACAACCACCATCAGATTCCGGCCATGATAGCCTTCAAAAATACATTGATTCCCTGTTTGCCCCCAAATAAGTGGAAGATTCCGGCCATGAAAGCCTTTGAAAATACATTGATTCCCTGTTTGCCCCCAAATAAGTGGACGTTTGGCAGAAAAACTCACTCCCCGGGCACAGCGCTTCGCCCATGTGTGCGCTAAAATTTAAGGTTTTTTTTCTCATCCATGGGATGGAGAGTCCTAAGATGGAAAGCGAGGATGAAAAGAACCTCTCACAGAGTTTTGCATGCCTTAACAGCCCGTTTTTGCACCTCTAAAGGTGAGCATCCCAAAATCCAGATGGCCCAGGTTTACCCGCGGCTCTGAAGCCCACCCAAATCTCACAGATGGAAATCAGGACACTTTTAAAAGGCTCCTTCTGTCCAGAAACCAATGATTGCTGGCCACTTCCCGGCCCTGTTTCACAATGCTGGGATTCTCCTCTAGCAGCTCTGTGCTCTGTGTATTCAGCATTCCTGGACGGTAAATACAGGAGGGCTGTGCCAGCAGAGCAGTGAGGCTTTCATTGATAGCGTGGTGTAAAATTCAATCAGTTGCTCTGTGGGGGTAAAAAAAAAATTGAAGTTTGGCAGAGTTTACCTTGAGGTCCAAAGAACAAGGGAAGCGCTGCCACCTAGTGAAGAACTCTCGCATGACAAGCAGAAAATTTTGGCTGGTCTGGGCAGAATACCTGGGTATTTCTGTTAAGTTAATTATATTTATATCCTGCCTTTCATCCAATGGGTTGATGTCAGTGGGCTCCCCTCTCTTCCCATTCATTCTGTCTTCACAGCAACGCGATGAAGTCAAAGACAAATTCTATGACGATCTGGCAGCTACTGTCAAAAAAGTCCCAGAGAGAGAGTCGCTGTTCATTCTCAGAGACTTTAACGCTAAAGTTGGGGCTGATCACAATTCTTGGCCCACTTGTCTAGGCCATTTTGGCATTGGAAAGACGAACGAAAACGGCCAATGCTTGCTGGAGTTTTGCTGTTATTATGGTCTTTGTGTCAGCAACACGTTCTTTAATATGAAGCCTCAACACAGAGTTTCCTGGAGGCATCCTGCACACGGTTGGGTTGGTTCACTAGCCCTTGTGTGCCATAGGATCACTGGGAAATCATGGCACTGGAATGGGCCCCAAGTGGTCCAACAGGTGAGCGGTTTCCCCATTTGGCCCCAATTCCTCACCCTCCTGCAGTCCAACAGGATACTGGTCCAACATGCAATGTCAAGGCCCTGTCTCTCTCAATCTTCTTCATTTTTTAAAACTGAGCTTGGATTAGAGAGCACTTCAGACTGAGAACATTTTCAGAAGTCTGTCCACTGATACCTTTTCAGCCGAAACCACAGCCCATCTCTTTAGTGTCTCGTTCCTGGACTTTCCAGGGGGGATCCACCTGGCCACTGCTGTAAAACATGATGCTCAGCTAGACAGGAGAACTGAGATGAACCACCGGCTACCTTCTAAATATCTGCCACTGTGTATGTTTACATGCTGTCGAGTCACTTCCCACTTGTGGGAAAACTAGGACCTACAAAAAATTCTTATGGTCTTGTTCACAGTCCTGATCGGTTCTTGCAAACTCAAGACCATGGCTTCGGTTCATCCGTCAGTCCATTTCATGTTCAGTCATCCTCTTTTCCTGTGGCATTCAACTTTCTTTACGGTCCATCTTTCACACCCATACCCAATGACCCGAAATACGAGAGTGTGGACGATCTTGGCCTTTGTCTCCAGGGACACATCCTTGATGGTCTTGTTGGAAGGTTTACAACCTCACAGGCTCCCAACCTTGGGTCACCCCAGATGTTCTTGGACTTCAGATCCCGGAAATCTTGGCCATCCCTGCTAGCGGTGAAGGCTTTGGGGACTTTTAGTCTGAAACCATCTGGGATACCCAAGGCTGGTAACCACTGTTCTAGTAGATGTGGCAGGGAGGGACCTTTCTGGGCTGGGAGTGATTGCCAATCTATTCAGAACTAACCAATAGTTCCCTCCCTGCCTCTGAATTCAAAGAGAGACCCATCTCTCTGCTCTATTATGTTTTCCCTCTCTTGAGTCTGTTGAAGTCTGTTGCTGAAAGCAGCTGCGTTTGTCAGTTTGCTGTCGATCTGTTAGTAATGAAACGTTTGGTTCTTTTGACTACTAATGTCTCAGAGTGAGTTATTAAGGCTGTAAGTGCCAGTTAATGAGAAAAGGGGTCAATTACTCTGGACAGCTCGCCGCTGTTCTGCTACTCGGTGAATTCCTGCACTTCTACTGCTCAGTGCGAAGAATTAATTTATTAATTTATTAGCCAATGGTTCCTTCCCTGCCTCTGAATTCAAAGAGAGCTTCACCTCTTTGCTCTGTTCTGTTTTCCTTCTCTTGAGTCTGCTGAAGCTGGTCTTGATTGATGGCTATCAGCCCTCTTTTTGAAGGAGAAATGTTAGGGCTGCACCGGCCCTTTGCTGCGTGCAAAGCCTGTGTGTGGTCCAGCACGGATCGGCGAGGGTTATTTTAAATTTTCCCTAGACACGTTGGGGGTCCAGCTCATGTCCGCTTGCAAATCATGCTGTTGCTGATAAGTGAATGTAGGCTAACGATGGTTCTCAGTCCTGTGCGTGCCCCTCCTCCCCAATAAAAGGAGAAAAGGGCAATGAATCAGCAACACACTCGTGTTCCATTCAGGGCCCTGTTTCTCCTTTTTTTGGCCTCGGAGAGCAAATCTCATGTGACGGTGCTTCACGGCTGGTTTCCCAGTTCTGGGCTGTGTCCAGGACAGGCCTTTTTGAAGGCAGACCCATTACTGGGGGGTCATCAGACAGGAGTTGCCTTTCAGACATGTTGTTCCCAGGAATGGCAGAATGACCAAATCCTGGCTTCAGTTCCCATCCCAAAGAGGAAGACGAAAAACACGGGGATCAGCAGGCGGTCAGATCACCCAAAGACCCCTCTGGAACGAGGGTGGAGCCCTGCATGGTGGGTGGGCCACTCACACGGTTCTCCCCCCCCAATATTTTTGATTGGAATTCCATAAGACCCACTTAGCATGGTCACTGGTTAGGGGCTGTATCAAGGAAAGCTGTCCACCTCCCTCAGTCTTCTTTTCTCAAGGCTAAACATGCCCAATTCTTTCAACCTTTCCTCCTAGGGCTTGGTTTCCAGCCCCCTGATCATCCTTGTCGCCCTCCTCTGAACTTGTTCCAATTGGTCAGCATCCTTCTTGAAGTGTGGTGTCCAGAACTGGACACAAAACTCAAGGTGAGGCCTCACCATTGCCAAACAGAGGACGGCCAGCACCTCGCAGGATCTGGAAACTCTGCTTCTATTAATGCAGCCTAAAATAGCATTGGCCTTTTTTGTAGCCATATCACACAGTTGGCTCATCATAGAGCCTCATGGCGCAGTGGTTAAACCGCTGTACTGCAGCCAAAACTGTGCTCAT